AAGTTTTTATCAATGTAAAAAATGTGTGAAAGAACAAAATTGTTATTACTTTACAATAGAACCTCATATTATATATTAGTACATCAGGATTGTCCATTTTACCTTATTCATTTATTATAATTTCTAACACCGCTTATAACGTTTGCCATTTAAATGTCATACAAACAATCTTATACCACTCACACGCATCAATGATTGTAATAATTTATAATTACACATTTATATGCGTGTGTGCGTATGATTTACAAATATTTATTCTTAGATTCAGACAAGTCTGATACTCATTGGATGTTTTCATATTTCTGCAATTGTCAGTCAGTATGTTTATAAGTTTTATGCATTGTATTTTCTCGAAACAAGTGTGGAAAACACTTATCGAGTACTCATTTATCCACCTTTATCTTCTTACTACATTGTTCTGTATTCTTCTTTCCTACGTGAATAAATATTATTATTATTATTCGCCGTCTGAGTGGAGAGCAATTGGTAGTCTCGTCCAAAGCGCCGAAATTGCGAAGAAACGACCACATATGGCAAAGAAAAATAGTTTCGTTTCATCAAATTAATGCACTGTGTAACAAGTCAATCAAAAAAATGGTAAAACTATACGGATTGAACTTCGAGTTGCTCCTACATCCACCGTATTCACCGGATTTGGCTCCTAGCGACTACTGGCTGTTCGCAGACCCCAAAAAAATGCTCACCAGTAAGAAATGTCGCTGGAATGAAGAGTTTATTGCTAATACTGAGGCCTATTTTGAGGTAAAAGAAAAATCGTTCTACGAAAGTTGTATTGAAATGATTGTGTGGTTCTTGATGGAGATGCCGTTGATTAATAAAGCCAGTTTTGAATAAAAAAAATGCGTTTTTCCCTAGGCCCATATGATACATTCAGAATCAGGGTTGAAACCTTCGATAAGATGAATCTGTTTTCAATGTTCAATGACATTTGTGGATATTATTGGCTTATACAGATTTTCCATAGCCTTTGTTGTTGTTGCAGGACGATTCGTTTTGAAAAATTAAGTAGTCTTACTAAATAAGTGTATACGTACCTTCTTCATCAGGCAGATATTTGTAAACGAGAGCGGTTCTGGTTTCGTTACCTAAAAATTGATTAGTAGTGAATCCAGCTAATAATCACAGTATAAATAATGAAAATGATTATTCAGTTATTGAAAACATGATACTCAGGTCTGACAGTAATTGCGTGTTTATTAAAAAAAAGTTCATATAAACATATCAAGATATACTTTATTATAATATATGAAGAACCCTGTTCTCGTTGATGAAGTTAGTACAATGTAGATTATTCCTGGAACTTAATTTTTTTTTCAGTTCCAAGCTGAGATCTTGCACAGAGAGAAACATTGGTTTAGGAGAAAATTCAAGGAAG